CCTGCCCTATGTTCCAGAACACTCTTGCTTTCTTCCTCTTCCTTCAGAAATGCACTTACTCCCTCAGTATTATCATTAGGAAAACCATTTGATTTATGCAATGAGGATATTCTTATTAATAATTCATGGTTTTGTTTTCATTACTGAGGATTCAGGGTTGGTGTCCTAAACATTGTTATACTTTTTGTTTTGTGGCTATGGTCTAATGATCTTTTACTCTTTTATAGTACTATTTATTTAAAAAGAATTTATGTTATACATATATATTTGTAAATATTTATGTATACTGATATTTCCTATTAAAATTTTTAAAAACAGATCTAATATTAAAAAACAAAAATAAACATATCCATATTGATTTTGGGGATTAGACTATTTGCTTTATGAAATCGTGAGTTAACAGGAAAGATTTCTGTCTCTTCTACTGATTTTTCTTTGTTAAACTTTTAAAAAGTAAATGTAAATAAAAAAGTAAAATGCAATAATAGTCCTAGACCAAATATTAAAGCTATTCTTTATAAGTAGAGGCAATAGTACTATGTACTTATATTTTAAAGTATTTTTCTTTTAGTGGTAATTGATTTAAGTCACTCCATATCTACATTGGATGAGAATAATCTCCTTTATGCTGTATATGATCATTTCCTCCATGGAATACACTATCCTAAGCACTGCAGGCCTGAAAATTAGTGATTAACTAGTATCCAGTCCTTGCTTTTCTGGAGCTTAGATTATTAAAAAAGGGAAAGTGTAGAAAAATAAATATACTATATATTTAGACATTGTAGTTACCAGTGAGAACAAAACAGCAGGCTAGTGGATTTCACAAGACTAAGATCATCCACCAAATGGCAGGTAAGGGCAAGAGAAGTTTTCTGAAGACAATGTCAGGTAAAGCAAATGGAAATGAGGAAAATTTAGGGAATTCAGGGGACATGGGGCTCTGAAGACATGTACCTCCCCCACCCCCCAACTCTTTTAGCTGCTTGCTATGGGACTCAAACACAAGCGTAACAGAGCAGAACAAAGATAATTACCTAAGTAACATTTGTCTTCTTCTCATTGGAAGCTATGACTCCTGAGTGCTGAGTAGGAAATAAATGAGAGTTTAGTCATATTCTAAGCTTGTGGCTGTCTTAAAGGCTTGGAGGGGGGGATCACAGCATAATGAGACACTGTTGAGGGTACTTCTTTCTCTTTGTAACTGGATAGATAAGTAGCTGCAAAAAAAAATTAAATAGCTGCAAAAGATAAAAAAAAAAAAAAAAGCCTGGATCATCCCAAGCCTAATCGCTCAGGGAGATATATCCCATGTGACCAACTGGGTTCAATTCAGGACCCTGTGACTTGAAAAGTATGCTGAGCGTCTTGTGCATCCCCCAGATCCCACCAGGATGGAGAAATGGAGGAGGAGGGATTGCATCATGACCATGTTCAAAGTGTGTTGGGGGGCTTTTTCCTTTTCTCTCTTTCTCACTCTCTTTGGTGAGTAGAGATGCTGTCTGACAATTTAAATGAATAAATAAACACTTCCAAGATAATACAAATGAGACAAAATATCAACAAGTGAACCTAGATGAAGGATGATGTGTTTCCATTGTATTATTATTCCATTTAATTCTATATTTTATATTTATTAATTATATATTTTGCATAAAATTTATTTTATCCAAAGAATAAAAAAGCTTGGGTGGGAAAGGGAGGGAGTGTAAAGTTAATTGAGAGAGAGGAAATGAAAATAAAAATAATTTCTCCCAATATACCTTTTTATGAAAAATAAAACAGTGAGAGAGAAAGTGAGAAATTACCCGACGGGGAGGATGGTCACACCACAATCCTTTCTCCTCCATTCTCCTGGGATTTGGGGCTCACATGAACACAAACCCAGTGTGATTTTCACCAAGTCTAGGACTCGAACCATGTCAGTCATGTAGGAATGGAATCTGATAAAAGAAATTGATACAGTGGTGAAAAGATATTAAGAACACATTTCCCTCTGCCTCAAGCTTAGAAATCCATCAATCTAGACCAGAGAGCAATGACATGGTTCTTGGGGAGATACAACACAAAAGGAGGTGATGGATTATCCAATGTTTTTGAATATTTTTAAATAATATTTTCAGTTTACTATGACTTGGCATAACAAAAGACAAGTAATTCTAAATATATGGAAAACCAAGAAAGTAATTAATGAGCAGTTATCACTTTAGAAGAAACAGAAAGAAGTATGACAATAAAAATAGATTCGTATTAATTAATTTGGATAGTTAGCCAATTATTATTATTATTCTTAATATATAAAATCACTGCTTTTTTCAATTAAGATGAAACTTCATTAGGAAGATAAGTATAGGGAGAAATTTGATCAAGATTCTATACTGGAACTTAATTTTAACAACCTGCATATCCAATTAATAGAAAATTACTATAATTTATAAATCAAGCAGCATTAATGTAACCTATATTACTTAATACACAAAAATTAATTCTCAAATAATAGATGAAAAAACTGATTGAGAACTAGACATTATAAAAGAACAAGATAAGCAGCTACCCTTTGGGGACTTAAACCCTTTAGTACTACTTTAAAATAATCTTCAAATTATTCTTTTATAAATACTAAAATTAACTTTAGAATATTTCAGAATGTTTTATGTTTGTTGTTTTAGCATCCTTCATGAGCTAGAGATGCAGTCAGCACTCCTAAAAGTTTCTTGAGGCCCCAAAACACTCCCAGCCTCAGCCAATCCCAGTCATGGGTATGCCTAGAATACGCGAGGTTTCTGGACAAGAATTTAATTTAACCACGTGAGTTAGCCTTGCTGAGCATCATCTTTTACCACTGTGCCACTGTTCAGTCCCAGAAAATTTAGAAAATTTTGAATTCAACAGGAACCAAAATTAGAGTATTCAGAGGACAAATGGAGAAACTATCCCACAGTAGAGAGCGAAAATATAATGAAATAGAAATCATGAATTAAAAAAATAGAAGATATGGAAGTCAGACTGTGAAAATCTCATCTGTAAATATAAAGGGTAAACTAGATGGAAAAGAAAAAAAAAAAAACAGAAGTGAAGTTTTTAAAACTTCCTAGAGTTGTTTAAAGAAAATTGTAGTCTTCAGACCAAATGAGCTAGAAAATCTTAGTCAAGATTAATGGGGAAACATTTACATCTAGATATTTTCCATTTAAGTTTCTGAACAGGATCAGGAGAGATATTTATAAACTTCCAGAAATGATATTATGAACTGGGAAGGTGGGATGGAAGTGCATTTCAGGGGAGGAGAGGCACCAGCCAGGCTCCAGATGCAGAGAAGTTGAAGATTTTCCCGAAGTAGGGAGTAATGGAGATGGATGACTAGATTTTAAAGTCAATGGCCTCAAAGGGAAATAAAAGTAAATCACTCACAGAGTGATTGAAAATGAGGTGTATAGTTGCCACATTGCTTACTCATTCTGCAGTGACAAATCTGTTAACTTTGTTAGTGTAATTTAGTCGGGTAATCAAACTCACTACACAGCATTATTTCATTTAAGAGATTTTAAAACCTTAAAATGTGCAACAAAATAAAAGGTCTTTATTGTACTCCTTTCACCTTTTCTTTCATTTATTTTTCTTGCAATAATGACTTCTATATTTTTTTTAAACTAAAAGTGTCCTCAATTTAAGGATCTTATATTTTATAGGTTCTTTCTTAATTATGATTTTTAGAAGGAAAAACTCCCAGAAGTTTGGAACAAACATGTTAACACAACCACTAAGTTATCATACTTTTTTCTTATCTACACATCATATTTTCAATAGAAAACAATTATTTTGAATTTCTCTTTTGTTTTAGTTTTCATTTCTGCTATAGGGCACAAGCACAAGCCAGACAGAGACAGAGTGGGAGAGCGAGAAAACTTCCCTCAGGGATGATGGGCACAATCCCTTCTCCATTCTCTTCTCGGGATTTTGGGCACCTCCCTCCAAGCCACAGAGTCTGGAACTCAAACAAAACAGTTGGCTATGTGGGATCTAGCCACCTTACCCACCACGCTACCTAGCTGGCCCCTGAATTTCTTAAATTGTCTATGTTAGTATCAATCAAAATTCTAAATGATTCCTAAAGAAGATGTTGGTACTTTAATAATATGTCGAGTTTAATAAATGAACATCAATACTGCCAAGGTGTGTTATTCAGGATTATGTGGCAATTGTTCATCTGGTAAAATATGATGCATGATCACTAATAAAACATAAAAAATAAACCAAGGTAACATTGTATAAAGTAATATTAAACAAAAAGAGATCAAAGTTAATCAACTTTATTACTAATAGTCTTTCTGCCATTTTCTGCCTCAGGGGTATGATGATGGCTATGGGGGTGAATATGATGAGCAGACCTATGAGGCCTATGATAACAGCTATGCGACCCAAACACAAAGGTAAGGCCTTTGCTGTCTAAAGCATCATTCTCAGGATTATCTCCAATCCTGCTGTTTTGTTTCCTGAATCTGAATATCAATTTTATCATGTGAGAGTTTCTAACACTGGTTTTTCTTTAAGTTGCTTAGTAGACCATGAGAGGTAAAATATGATAATCACTTGCAATTGCAAACAATGAAATAGTAATATTATTAAGACTTGATGATATAATAACCAATAAATTCATTAAACAAACTTGTATTTAACTAAATATGATTAGTTTTAGGGGTTTTTTTGTGAATTTATAACTAAGAGCAACAAAAATAGCATTTGTTAGTTGCAATGTTTTTCATAAAATTTTCACTTATTAAAAGATAAAAATGTTATTAGAACTCTGAAAAGAAGCAAATTAGTAAAACATCTTATAGAATCAGAAATGGAATAAAAATGTCTTTCCTTTCTTGATGGATTCCTTGATGGATTGCTTAATGTTTATTGGTTGTATTTAAGATTGCTCCCACAGTTTGTGGTATCAATAACAGTAAACTTCTTTAAATTTATATTTACTGAGGCATTATTTATAAAGTTTTCCCATTTAGATTACAGTAGTATGAGTTTGGCCAATGCAAACTACTTTGTGACCATGATTAAGATATAGAGCACTTTCATTACCCCAAATATTTCTTCCTGAACCCCTGTAATCAACTCCCCTCCCAAGCCCCAGACACTGAGCTACAATCTTTTTATCTCTATAATTTTGCATTTTTCTAGACTGTCATATGAATAGAAACAATGTAATCTGTAGCCTTTTGAGTCTCCCTTCTTAGCATAATGCATTTGGTATTTATTTAGTATCCATATTCTCTTCCTTTTTTTTTTTTATTATTATTATAAATTTTTTTTTCTTTTCTCATCA